ATACAGACTTGACATTTAATATGGAATATTTCAGTTTCGAAGGTATGCCTAGGTAAAAATTCGTTCTTTTTTCAAAAAACTCCGATCTCATATAAGATTTGTGAATGGAGAAGTGTGTAGTCAGGTGTGCCGCTACCAATTAACTGACTTGCATGTCGGTTGCGCTGCTACATTATGTAATATGCGGTATTTAATTGGGTAGTGTTCCTTTGGGCTGGTCAATGCTTGGAATAGGCAAATCTTGGTTCTGTCAAAAAAGTATCCGTATGTCGGCAACTATCCCATAGAAGAATTTGAAATTTTGCATGCAAGCGGTCAATTTTGCAGTGCGTAAAATGAGCTAAGGAGTGCTTTACAAATTTGTAAATTTGTGGCGGAATGGCGCGAAAAAGGCAGACATTACCAGACAGATTACAGCGCCAAACGGAACGGTCCGCACAGTTTTATAAAGTAATGCCCAGACTGATGTAACTACACAGAGGTCACACCCAATGCATCGAAATCTTATCTCCAGGGTACAGGACACACTGTCTTTCGGGATACGCTGCTGCAACTAAACAAAAGCCACCCAGTCTGTTCAGAACGAGGGGTAAATTGCCCTAAAATGCGTTTTTCCAGGCCCTTAACGAACACCAAACTGGTTTTAGCAGGTTAGAATACTAGACGACCTGCGAGGTACCCACTGTAAACAGCAAAACATCGTCGTCTGTTTCTCCAATGAATTGGGGGCCATGACCGTTTCTGGGTAGAACACTGAAACCGCGTGTCTTTCTTTATTGAGGTCAAATTTCACCTGTACCTCCAAGCTAGTCAAAACAGAGTTTACAGACATTCAGAAGAGGCCTACGACGAAGCATGTACCTCGTGTAAAGTGACACGGGTCATTGACAGCGTCAGTATTTGGAGTGGATACCACATTGGTGCCAAAACACCAATGGTAGTCATTGACGAAAACCTGAACCAGACCAAATAAAGGAATAATCCGGGAACCACTTGACTATCATTTGATAGGGGGCACCTTAGGAAAAATTTTAGGTTGCACGGTCAGATTGCCGGTTCACACAGAGCACTTTTAATAGCAGATAACTTACAGAACCAAGGGAATGAGCAGCTACCCTGGTCATCAAAATCGCCACATTTGAACCGCATAGACAATATGTGGGTAAGCCATTACTCGCCGAATCAACTGCTTACATGCCCTACATCAAAACTGGACCAAATTGGACAATTTTGGACCGATTCCTGGAATAATATTCCAGATTGAACTCTAAAAACTTTTCCCAAGGAATGCCTTGCCGCTTGAGAGCGCTGGTAACAGACAGAAGAGGCCAGGCGTAACAGCGACCGTTACTATGACTACACACTGACATGAAGGTCCATTGTGTAGCGTATTACTCTTTTACAGACAATAATTTGGAAAATATAGAGATCCAAAATATCTCATTTAATGGATGTTGTATGACATAGAATAGGCAATGCATTTCTGTTTGCCTCACTGTCGAATTCAACCAATGAGCTGATGTCAGCATGACATCAAAGAGATAATTTAAAGTTATCAAAACACGATTTTAATGGTTATTTTCATTTATCAGTCAGCAAAATAGGAAAAAACTGATGAAAAATGACTTAGAAAAAAATATTCCATATTAAATGTCAAGTCTGTATATATATATATATATATATATATATATATATATTCCTTTAATTCATTTAGATAAGACATTAAGCTTCATCAGATATTTATGTATTTACTTTATCTTGTCCCAAATTTTGAATTTTCATTATCATATATATTTTTTAATACTAGAATTTTTGTATTAAGTGCAAGCTATATTTGAGAGCCTTGAAGCAGTTTGTGGTAGGAAGTATATGTCTGACTTGCTGTATGACCATTATATTGATAATTAAGAAGACCTTGAATATGGTTATGTTTGAAATAATTTTTTTTCAACTATTTACATAATTTAAGTACAGTTAAGTGACAAAGATAATGTGTGCTCTTTTGAGGTGAGATAGCAATCGGTATGGTGCATAACTTTATCTTTGAACAAGATTTTATCACGCAGATTGGCAGAGTTGACCAGAGTTGACCAATCCGGTGGGGCAGGAGTGCACGTCCTAGTAACGCAAGTCCCCCGGGACTAGGGCATGCATTGCTAGCAATGGAAGTCCTAGGACATACGTTACTAGGATTCAATGTCCGTATGACAAAGGCTCCCAAGTAATGTAAGTCCTACGTGTAGTAATGCACGTCCTAATGGGACGTGCGTTCCTGACATTTTAGTAACGCATGTCCTATATAGTTTACACCAAGAAATAACATGAATAAATAGATATAGAGACATACTAGTTTTAAATATTTAGATAGTTTTAAAGATATAATAAACGTTTGCTTTATTCTATTTATATGACATTTTATCTTTATATTTTACAATGTTTTCCGATAGGCAGTTTATATGCATATTAATGAAGACACAAAAACAATTTATTTATTTTATGTGTATTTTTCATATAGTAAACGCAAATTTTGACGTGTTAACGCATATTTTTGGCGTACTCCTCCCTCAGTGCACAATATGTATGAGCCTGGTTTGTCCGCTATTTTTTTTTAACAAAATAAGGCACCATCCAAAGGCATCCCTTATTTTCATCCTTTGAGGTATATGTACAGTGTATGTTATTTCATGTCCTTTTCTACTGGGGTGTACCTTTTGTGTTTTGCGTCAAAATTCTTATTTTCTCTCCCTCTCTCTCTTTTTCAAAACCTTATTCCTAAGAGAAAAATCACTTTACTCAAAAAGCGGGTTTTAGATTTTAGATTTATTTTTCGGTATACACTCGCTGAAATTGAAAAATAACCTCAAACTCGATGGAAATTTGCTCTTGGAAAGTATGGGAAGATTTAAGACAAATCAAGACAGTTTAGAAATTGAAAATTGCAATATATGTATATAATGTTCTGTAATAACCCTTTGTTATTTTGGTGCTTTGACACTTAAAAGACAAAACAAAAAAGTTGTAAATGTAATGAGCACGCAATTTCGAACACATATTAGACATTAAAAACACCATTAAACATTTTGCTACAAG